TATAAAGGACCCATGTGCAAAGCTAAGGGGGAAAAGGAGTAAGGGTGGGAGGTAAGGGTGGGTGGGGTGCAGGAAAGCGGTGGTGGGAAAATGGAGACAACTGCACTTGAACAACAACAACAAAAAAAGACAAGAGTGTGGATAAGAAGAAATGTGAAGACTAAATCACTAGGTCTGCTAACTGGATTAGGACAAAGAAAGTGGTAGAAAATAATTTAAAAAGTAATGAAATAATTAAGATTTTAAATCTGCATGTCCTGAACAAATGAAGGAGATTTTCACAAAGACTCAGAAGTCAGGAGGAGAAGGTGACTCTCGGCGGCCTTGAATATAGCATGGGTCCAGTGTGGGGGTGTGACGGGAAACCGCGGCAGAGCGCCAGCAGAACCGGGGAGAAAGGGCAGCTAAAGAGCAGATAGGAAGACACATGAGGAGTGGTCAAGGCAATAAGGTGTTTTAGGATAACCAAGAGTGATGATAGAGAATAACAGCATATTTTGGATTCTGAGGTTGCTTTTGAACTATGAAACTCTTAAGGTAGAAGAAAGGTGAGAAATAGGTCAGAGGATTGTAATTTTCACTAAAATTCTTTTTAGTACATTTTTTTCCCTCACCAATTAAAAAATACTACTAATAACAGATATCATATTAAATCTTACTATTTTATTCACTAGATAATAATTGTATTTTATTATTCTGAGGAATCTGAATTTTAAAGAAATTTAGTCTTTTGGTCAAGTTTTGAAAGTGGAAACTGGTCATCTAAATCTAGCCTCTAACTCTGTAGCAGTAATTATATATAGAGTCCAAGAGTGAGTCCACTCAGAACACTGAAGCCCCTTCAGCCAGAATGCGGCCTCAGGTAGGGCTGACAGTTGTCTTGTCTTGTTAAATGTGTTTATGTGTAAGTATTTCAAAGGTTCTCATGAAACATCTTTCCTGTTTTTTTCCTAACACATAGTAAAAGTGGGACTAAGCTTCCCTCTTGTGGTCAATGAATTTAATTCTTTTATTATGGATTTATTTCTAGTTTTATTTATTTTTTATTACAGTTGGCATACAATATCATATTTGTTTCAAGGGCACAACATAATTATTAGACATTCATGTAACTCATGAAGTAATCACGCCAATAATCTAGTACCCACCAGATACCATACATAAAATTACAATATTATTGACTATATTCCCTATGATGTGCTTTACATCCCCACGACTATTTTTGTAATTGCCTATTTGTACTTCTCAGTCCCTTCGCCATTTTCACCCAGCGCTCTCATCCCCCTCCCATATGGTAACCATCAGTTTGTTCTCTGTATCTACAACTTTGTTTCTGTTGTCTTTGTTCATTTTGTTGTTTAGATTCCACATATAAGTGAAATCATATGGCATTTGTCCTCCTCTGTTTGACTTATTTCAATTAGCACAATATCCTCTAGGTCCGTGTTGCTGAAAATGGCAAGATTTCATTCCTTTTATGGCTGAGTAATATTTCATTGTACCACATAATCTTTATCCATTCATCTGTAGGGGGACACTCAGGTTGCTTCCATATCTTGGCTATTGCAAATAATGCTGCGATGAATATAAGGGTGCGTATATCTTTTGAATTAGTATTTTGAATTTCTTTGGATAAATACCCAGAAGTGGAATTGCTGGGTCATATTATAGTCCTAATTTTAATTTTTTGAGGAACCTCTATACTGTTTTTCATAGTATAAAAACAGGTTGTCCCAATCTGTGTTCTCACCAATAGTGCACAAGGCTTACCTTTACTCCACGTCCTCACCAACACCTTTTTGTTGATTTATTGATGATTGCCATTCTGTCAGAGGTGAGGTGATATCTCATTATGGTTTTGATAGTCATTTCCCTGATAATTAATGATGTTGAACATCTTTTCACATGTCTGTTGGGATATGTATGTCTTCTTTGGAAAAATGTCTGTTTGGGTCCTATGCTAATTTTTAAATCAGACTATTTTTTTATGTTAATTTGTATGAGTTCCTTATATAGTTTGAGTATTAACCCCTTGTAAGATATATCATTGGTGAATATCTCCTCCCATTCAATAAGTTGTTTCTTCCTTTTGGGTATGGTTTCATGTACTGTGAAAAATCTTTTTAGTTTGATGTAGTTCCATTTGTGCATTTTTTCTTTTGTTTCTCTTGCCTGGAGAGATGTATTCAAAAAATGTTGCTAAAAGCAATGTCAAAGAGTTTCTTGCTTGTGTTTTCTTCTAGAGGTTTTATGATTTCAGGTTTTAAATTTAGGTCTTTAATTCCTTTTGAGTTTACTTTTATATATAGTGTAAAAAAGTATTCTGGTTTCTTTTTGTTGTTGTTGTTGTTTTTGCAGGTATCTATTCAGTTTTTCCAATACCATTTATTGAATAGACGGCCTTTATTCCATTGTATATTCTTACCTCCACTGTCACAGATTAATTAACCACATAGTTGTGAGTTTATTCCTGGGCTCTCTATTCTGTTCCATTTATCTGTGTGTCTGTTTTTATCCCATATTGTTGCTGAATTAAATAGGGTTCTTTAATGGTATCACAAGACACACATTTCAAGCATACATGCATAAAACAAATTTGAAGTGTAGTAGCAAGATTTTCTGGAGCAAAAACAAAGGACTGATGTCTCATCCACCAACAGGTGGCCCAGCTCTATTTTGCTGGGGAAGAAGTCCTGAGCCTGGTAAGCACAAGTGTCCATCAGGTAGGTCAGGACCCAGAACTGCAACGTCATCACCTTGGGCCCTGGTAGTCCAGCGCAGCCTCTGTTCCAGGCTGCGCTTCCCTGTGTCTCGTTTCCCCATCTGCATGCCAAGGCATGATGGTGCCCAGGCCATGACTGGCGCTGCACTCAGGCCCACATGGCTGCTGCAGAGAGAGAGCACGCAAAACCCTTTCTTGTTAAGCTTCCCTGTATTTTCTTGGGCTTAGGAGAAAGCAGGCTTTCTTTCAAATGCACCAGTCTCCTTCCTAAGTTTTCACAGGCTTGTGCTGGGTGCTCCCTCTATTCTATCCTTTCCTGGATCCACCAGGTTTTGTGTCATTTTACAATCGGATCCTTTTCCCAGATTTTCCCACACTAGACTCCTACCCTGTAAGTTTGCTATTTTGTCTTCTATTGTTCATACACCCAGCAAAGGAATCTCCCTACTGTTTTATTCCATTTTGTAAATGTACCACAGTTTTTTAATGTATCCACTTACTGATGGGCACTTAGGCTGTTTCCAGAACTTGACTATTGTAAATAACTCTGCTATGAACATTGGGGTGCATAAGTTCTTTTGAATTGGTGTTTCAAGATTCTTAGAGTATAATCCCAGCAGTGGAATTGCTAGGTCAAAAGGCAGTTCCATTTTTAGTTTTTTGAGGAAATTCCATACTGTTTTCCACAGTTGCACCAGTCTACATTCCCACTGACAGTGTGCTAGGGCTCCCTTTTCTCCACAACCTTGCCAGCACTTGTTGCTTGTTGACTTATTTATGATGGACATTATGACCAGGGTGAAGTGGTAGCTCACTGAGGGGTTTTTTTTCAGTATATATTTCATTGATTATGCTATTCCAGTTGTCCCATTTTTTTCTTCCCCTTTATTCCCCTCCACCCTGTACTGCCCCTACCCCCAGCATTCCCCCACCTCTTAGTTCATGTCCATGGCTCATACATATAAGTTCTTTGGCTTCTCCATTTCTTATACTATTCTTAATCTCCCCCTGCCTATTTTGTACCTGCTATTTATGCTGCTTATTCCCTGTACCTTTTCCCCCATTCTTTCCCCTTCCCTTCCCTTATGATCTCCATTTCTATGATTCTATTCCTGTTCTATTTGTTTGTTTAGTTTGTTTTTGTTTGGTTTTTTAGTTTCAGATGTTGATAGTTGTGAGTTTGTTGTCCTTCTAGGGTTCAAAATTTTTGATCTTCTTCTTTTTCTTAGATAAGTCCCTGTAACATTTCTTATGATAAGAGCTTGGTGATGATGAACTCCTTTAACTTGACCTTATCTGGGAAGCACTTTGCCTGCCCTTCCATTCTAAATGATAGCTTTGCTGGATAGAGTAATCTTGGATGGAGGTCCTTGTCTTTCATGACTTTGAATACTTCTTGCCAGCCCCATCTTGCTTGTAAGGTTCCTTTTGAGAAATCAGCTGATAGTCTTATGGGAACTCCTTAGTAGGTAACTGTCTCCTTTTCTCTTGCTGCTTTTAAGATTGTCTCCTTATCTTTAATCTTGGGTAATGTAATTATGATGTGCCTTGGTGTGTGCTTCCTTGGGTCCATCTTCTTTGGGACTCTCTGAGCTTCCTGGATCTCCTGGAAGTCTATTTCTTTGACCAGATTAAGGAAGTTTTCCTTCATTATTTTTTCAAATAAGTTTTCAATTTCTTGCTCTTCCTTTTCTCCTTCTGGCACCCCTATGATTCAGATGTTGGAATGTTTAAAGTTGTCCCAGAAGTTCCTAAGCCTCCCCTCATTTTTTTGAATTCTTGTTTCTTCATTCGGTTCTGGTTGAATGTTTATCTCTTCTTCTTGCTCCCAATTGTTGATTTTAGTCCTGATTTTCTTCCCTTTACTGTTGGTTCCCTGTATATTTTTTTATTTCACTTTGTGTAGCTTTCACTTTTTCCTCCATTTTGTCACCATTCTCAAGCAATTCAGGAGCATCCAGATTACCAGAGTTTTGAACTGTGCATCTGATAGATTGGCTATCTCTGCATTGCTTAGTTCTATTTTTGGAGCTTCCATCTGTTCTTTCATTTAGGCCATATTTCTTTGTCTTAGCACGCCTCTTACATTGGAAGGGGCAGGGCCTTGGGTATTCGCCAGGGCAGGGCGAGCCAAATCACTGCGTTTTGACACTGTGTGTCGGGGAGGGGTCCAAGAGGGAACGATGCTGCTTGCTTGGCTCTCTGCTGGCTTTTAGTCACTTCCGCCGCTATCAAAACTAAACTCAGTCAAAGTCCACTCGTTGTCAGTTTCACTTTTCAGAGGACAGCAGTGGTGGGAGGAACACACTATTCTGATTAGAAACTGACTTTCAGAACGGGCCTTGGGGACTTGGCTCTCCCTTCAGCGTCGGTGAGGCAGCATATATCTTCCCTCACTGAAGCTAGGGGACCAGGGTCACCTCCACCCCATCTGGCTGTGCCAGAGCTCTCAGCCTTTGGACACTGGCTGTGTGGATGAAGGGTCCACCTGAGCTCCAGTGAGAACACCCACCAGCCCAGTTTCCTCCTGAAGGAGAGAGGGAGAGAGGTAAGTGGTTTGCAGAGTCCCAGTGGAGGACACTAAACAAAGTGGGGAAGTCGATTAAGATGAGGAAGTAGGACATGTAGACAGTGAGCATCTGCCTGGGCAACTGTCACCTGTTAGAATGCTTCCCACTTGTATTCTATGCTCCTCCTCCACTTCATATTTTTCAAAGCACTTATGTGAGTCTCACAATATTGCTGTGAAGCAACTGGGTGAGGGAGGGCACAAGATCAACACTCAGAAAACCAGGATCACATTGATCATTTTCATACATGATGTGTGTTTGTGTCTCTGAGCCTTGGTTGCCTTGTCTGTCACATGCTGATGATACAGCTGCAAAATGTGAGGAATAGTCATCTCCATCAAAGAGGAAATTCTTCAGTCACAGAAGGAAACACAAGGTCACCTTGTCTCTTAGAACTTTGCTTTGTCACTATAAAAATGTGTTGTTTTTAACATGTGATAAGCTGTATCTATTTTTAAGTTACATAGATATATAAACTCCAAACTTAATTAACTGATTTAATCCTCACCAGATAATTACTGTGGTTACTTAGCATTTTAAATTTAAGTACTAAGAGTTTTTGGTGGGTTTTTTTTTTTGTTTTGTTTTGTTTTTTTAAAAAAATAACCCTCTAGTGACACCTGACATGTGGTAATTTTGTATCTTTCCTTGGTGTGAATTTTAATACCGTATGAACAGACCTTGATATTCAGAATTGTCATTCACCTAATTCCTAAGCATAAACCAGCACTTATCACAGCAGCTTAACACTTGTACTTCACCAAAAAGATAAGTGAAACATGGGTTTTCATAATTTGGTGACACGTATACATGTTAGAACATGTCTCTTGACAATATCAAAGTTGACCATATTTAACATCAATGGCAGTTTTAGAAGATTCATGGCCTACATTCAAATGGTAAAATAGAGATGTCAAAAAGCTTACAATTAAAATGTTATAATTTAAATTTACAATTTAAGTCCAGTTAGTTATTTATGTATAAAAAATGTGCCAAAGATTTTCATCATGTGGACAGAAGATGATTTACAGCAATGTTTTTCCTTGGCACTACTTGATAATTTTGGGCTGTTCAGATTTCCTGTGCTTTGTGGGATGGTTATCAACATCCCAGCTATCACCTATTAGATGTTTCTTCCCTCAGGGTGACAACCAACAATATCTACAGACATTGCCAAGTGTCCTCCAAGGTCAAAGTCGCCCTCTTCCCCATTGGGAACCCTGGTCCAAGGCAGTACTTCTGCTCCTTTATACTCATGCACAAATCTCTGTCTGAGCACCAGTGAAGGTTAAGATGTATTTTCACAACTTTCTTCAAAAGCCTCATTGATTTAGGCAAATTTTTGCTAGAGTGCATTTGTAGGTTCCCCTGCTGCTTTAATGTAACAGACCTAAAGGTACACAACCTATAAACTTGTTTGTAGCAAGCGTGGGTCCTTCTCAGATCATACAACCAGCCATGGTTCTTGGCGTGGGCTTTGTGGGCTCTCTTTGCCCTTTCTCAGAGAATGAGAAATTCTGCTTGTAGAGAATGTTTCTGCTTATCTCAAGGGGCATCCAGGAGGCATCAGCAATTTCCTTCAGTCTCTGGGGAGTAACACATACATGGTAAAGAAGCTCAGTCTCATTTTCCTGTACATATTTTAGGACTCTGTCAGATCTAGGCATTGTGACTGGGCTTATATCATTTTCCTTAGAGATATTTTGATGACAGTAAGCGTCACTTAAAAAATCAAAGTCGTAATAGAGTAAAATAATCTCCTAAACCATGTGATTCAGGTGACTGTGGATTTCCCTGCCCTGTTAAAATCTTGCTGGCATTAGTTTCTGGGGAAAGAGAAATAGCAACTGACTTATCATTGCTCCTGAGCACATTCATCTAGTTGATGTGAAGCAAGTCTTTTTAGAGTAAGTCTTAGACTTCTTTCATTCTCAATTTTTTAGTTTTCAAAATGAAAGCAAGTATTCTGTTTTGTTCTGGTAGCTTTAAAACATTTTCACTGCTGAAAAAAAAAACATTTCTGCAATGCAGGTTTAGCAGGCATGCTGAGTTTGCCCATTTCTGCTGGTTGGGCTATTTCTTTTATTTATTCCTATGCCTCTTCAAAATGATACTGAAAGGCCATTTAGGGTTGCTCCCTTGGTCACCTCTTTGTGCAGCACCATTTCCACTCCTTTCTTTTGTTTTCCAAGGCGTCCCTTTGCCTCTGGCTTCTCCCCAGGCACTGACGAGGGCTTCCTGGAAGCAGCATAAGGGTCAGAGCTCTCCTGCTCCTTCCTCTACATCTAGGAATCTCTAGTGATGAAGGGATTTGCAGGAGGGCTAGGAGGAGGGCGAGAAAAAAATATTTGACTTCTGCTTTATGAAGTCTGCATGCTCAGAATTGATGTAACTAAGGAGTTTTTTTTTTAATATGTAAACAATATTGTCCCTTTAGCCCATGAAAACTTTTCATTTCAATCAGAGATCTCCCTTTAGGCCTAAACATTAAGTTTAGTACCACACATTGGCGAAGGGATCAGAAATGCTCAATGACTGTGAGAAGTGGAGCCAAGTCCATTTCACTGTTTGCTCATGGAGGGGTGGATGTTGATGTCTTGTTATGACTGCATAATCACTGGGAACGATGGAATGGTCAATACATCAGTGTTGCTGCCTCACTTAGGTACAGTCATGTTTTCTCTTGGGTTTGCTCCAGGGAGGATGGTGGATTTTCCGGGATACAGCCTGTCTGGTGCAGTTGCCTCCTTCTTCTTCATACTGCTCACCATGAAGCAGTCAGGTAGGATGCCCTCCCCTGCTCCACTGTAAACCCGAATGTCCCAGAGACCCAGTCTGGGTGCAGAGGTTTAATTCAAAAGAGTAGTATACTATCAAGAGTGGGGACTAGGAGCTCAAACATCTGTGCTCCAAAAAGAGCCCCTCCACTTCCAGCTGTGTTATCTTTGGACAGTTGCTTGAGTAGCGCCTGCCTTAGTTTCCTCATCTTTATAATAAAAATAACAACATACCTACATCTCATAGGTTAGCATGAGCTTTAAGATTAAATGAGGCTTTACATGGAAAATACTTGAATCCACCTGGAGCACATTAAAGCATTCATTAATTCTCTTGCTTCTGTGCAGGACAGCACTTTGGGGGCTAGAATAATGCTTTGTACCATATATTAAATAGCATAAAAACACTTGGGAATGTAAAGCTAGCAGGAGGGACTTCTAGTAAGTGAACTTGGAAATCTTAGTAGCTGAATTTCTTTGGTCAAAATATTGTCCTCTGAGGAAGGATTATGAAAATTCAGTGTCAGTGGTAGTATCCAAGCCCAAAGGAAAATGCAGCGTGTCAAAGTGGGAAGCACACAGGACACAGCATCAGAAGCCATGGACTCCAGACAGGGTGCACCACGAAGTATGTGAAGGGGTGAGGCTCCCTCCCCTCTGGGGAATGCATTTAGTTCATCTGTGAAAGCAGTCAACCAGATGGTATGACCAGTTCTAGCTCTGTAATTAGAGTCCATCAGTGAAGAATGAAAACAGACTCCACTTGAGTTCTATAGCAACCTTTCGAACAGCATCTACTTGATATTGAACAAGTAAGCAAGGTGGGATTCCTTCTGAGGAGGATTGGATCTGCACAAAATCATCACAGCATTTTTGGCTGAAAAAGATATGTGTGGCATATGAAATTATTAAACATAACAACAAACAGAATTATTAAATATCTTTTCAATTTGCAGATAACAATGAAGAAATCAGACAAAACTCAAAATCTGATTGGAAGGCTGAAACTCTCTAGACAAATCACTTCCCTTAATTGCCAGAAAATGTCCTTGGAAAAAACTGCCTTGTACAATAGCCCAAGTAACAGGAACCCCGCTTGCTCCAGGCCAAAAAGGAAAGGGAGAGCAAGAGCAACCCTGAAAAGCTGAAAAACCTTTTGAATAAATTTATTGCCTAAATTTTAAGAAAACTAATAGCAATGTCAGTCATTAACAATATAAAGAAAAATCACTAAAATACATCACTGTAAAGTAGAAATAATAAATGAAATTCCCAATGAAAACATGGCTTTATGCATTAACTTGAGAATAAAAACAGCCCAGAAATGATAGTTTTAGTATCTTAAAGATGAAGAAATTGAGATTAGAAATCTCATATCTCACTGAAAATAATGTATTTGCCCCCAGATCACATAGCTGGTGACAGACTTGGCCCAGGCACTCATGTTTTTGAACTGCGTGTTATTTTCAGTACACAAAATTGTCTCTGTAACAGCCAAATTTGTGAATCACCAGGTTGAGCCATCCAAAGCAAGCTTATTAATCTTCCAGTTGGCCTTCCCTGGTACCTCTTTTTCATTCTTTTGTAGTTGACTTTAGAGTGATTGGTCCTGCTCACCCCATCCTGGCCAGGGTGGGGGAAGATGCCCAGCTAACATGTCAGCTCCTCCCCAAGAGAACCGCGGTGCACATGGAGGTGAGGTGGTACCGCTGGGAGCCAAGTGCGGACGTGCTGTTTGTATACCGGGATGGAGCTGAGGTGACCGAGATGCAGACGGAGGACTACAGGGGCCGAGTGCAGTGGGTAGAGGATGACCTTGCTGAGGGAACTGTAGCTCTGAAGATGTACAACATCAGACCATCCGATGATGGGCAATACTGGTGCAGTTTCCAAGAGGGGAACTCTCGTGGAGAAACCAGCTTGCTGATCAAAGTAGCAGGTAAACATCTGGGAAAAAACATAGGATCTTGGAAGGAAAAGTCTATTAATTTGTGGTAAATTTATTACCAGTTAAAGAACTCTCTTCAATCATCAAGGCAATTCCTAGTGCCCAATCATCCAGCTGGATTCATCCAAGAGCAAGTAGTTCTGAAATCTCTAAAGCTCACATAAGCAATATTCCCAAATATAACTTATATGGTTTTGACTATTCTTGACCATTATCATAAATCCACGACATGGGGTCATTAGCAAGTTTGTTGAGACAAGAATTTGTGCCACATAGGCTGATGTGTAAGGGCAAGTCCATCACTAAGTGAGTCTGTCTGACTGCCCAGCATCTGTATTGCAATGCAATTGATTGTTCTCTACCTAACATCAAATATGCAGTAACTGAGATGTGAACACTTTGTCCCTTGTGTAATGCCTTCAGTTAGAAAGCTAGTGATGGGGCTAAAGTGGTTAAGAACTTTATGCTTCTGTGGAGATTATCATATATACTTGTGTTCAATGAGTTGGGGACTCACTGTGGATGGCAGGTTCTGCATGTCGGTTTTGTATTAGCAAAGTAGGAAGAAGGGAAGAAAGGGATCCCTGAAGAAAGGATCTGTTTTAAGTAAGAACAAATATCTGAACAGTATAAATGATCAGATGGTTCCCTGGTAGGAATAACTCCTTCACATACTGAGAGGAAACTCAGGCAAATAGTTCTGTGGAGACAAAGAAGTATCTTGCTGATACTGCTTACTTTTTACTTCTCCATGAGGCTGTTTCCTAATATATTTTTTTAAACACTCATATTATTGTTATTATATTCAAAGTTATTTAAGATGGATGAAAGAATCCATGTGTTCCTGAGGCGTGGAGTGGAGGGGGTGGGGCACATATTAAGGCATTTCACTGTCAGGGTCATTTGAAAATAAACCATACATTTTTTCAAGCCTTTAGTGGAAGGAACAATAGAGACAGCATTGCCATTTAGGGAAAGTATGGTCTCCTTTGTTTAGGTTTGAGAGCCGTGTTGATGAGAAAGATCTTCAACATTGTATAAAACTAGGATTCTCAAACACGTTTTTCCACTGAGTGGAATATTTAGATACAGGAACTCCTCACGGAGCGTCTCATTATACATGCCCTGGGTATCTAATAAAGGTCCCAAGATCACAACCACCAAGAAAAAGAATAGAAAGAATAGTCCCCATGGAGGTGATGCCTGACTTTATATTAAATATCCTGTTTAAATTGGAGTGAAGATATCATCCAAAATGTCAGGCAAAGTGCCTGACACAATAATATTAAGATGAAAAAGGCAGTTTGTGGCATGGGTGGGTTCATGAGTAAATTATAACACATCTTTGTTTATAGTACTAGAGACATAAACCACATGTCATAGGTCCTTTTTTCTTATTATCCTGTCTGGATCCAAAGAAAAATATTGCTCATCAGCTAAAATTTAAAGATCAGACTCAGGAACAAATACAGTGTATGGAAACTCCAATTTGAATGGAAGGAAGATCTGGGCATGGTCTTTGCTCCCCAGATCTCTCAACTTCTAATCTCTCCCCAGAGCAATGTCACTGGGATCTCAGTCTGTATGATTTGTGCCTCCACAGGCTCTGAGCCTCAGGGCTATGTCCTCCCTCCATAGGTCTGGGGTCTGCCCCTCACATCCACATGGAGGGATCTGAGGAAGGTGAAATCCAGCTTGTTTGCACTGCAGAAGGCTGGTTCCCAGAGCCCCAGGTTTATTGGGAAGACATTAGGGGACAGAAGCTGCTGACTTTCTCTGAGTATCATATCCAAGATGAAGATGGCTTGTTCTATGTGGAAGCCACGCTCATGGTCAGGAACGCCCCTGCAGAGGCTGTGTCCTGTTTCATCCACAACCCCATCCTCAACGAGGAGAAGGGCTCAGTCATCTCCATCCCAGGTCAGTGCTCTGCCTCTAGGACCATGATGCTTAGATTAGCAGGATGGGTCCAGAGACTGTTCCGCAGCACCTAATAGTTTCTTAACCAAGAAAATTATCTACATTTAGTAATTTGTATTAAAAACTATAAAACACTTATGACTGAAAATATATACACTGTATTTTGATTGAATAGCTATTGTTAATGGTATTATAATTATTTCCAAGTTCAAGATTTTCTTTACTCACAAGTATGCATGACATTGTAAAGGAAATAAAGCTACATTCTTTCAACTGTAATGTTTTCTTATGAGGTATTGTGCTGATTACTTCTGGGAACTTATCATATAAAAATAATCAAAGATGGAGACAACTATTTACACAATGGGATCCTTATTGTAGCTTCATTGATAAAGAGCAGCAAAAGCAATCCAGTACAACAGTGGAGTGTTAAGAGTTTTATGTTACTATTTATTATAGCATTGATGAAAAAGTATTTTCAAAAAAATTTAATGGTTGAAAAATATCCTCATGATGGAGTATTTAATGATAAAGATTATAACTATCTATCTATCTATAGGCATTTCCAATCATGTAAAGATTCTTTTTTTGATACCACATACATTTAGATATAAGGATATAAGTATATAGTTATACTTACTATAAATGGATATTGAAAAATTGAACTAATGTTGTATGTTAATGTTAAAATGAGCTATACACATACATGTTTTATTTCTCAGTTTGGAATTATAGGTGATAATTTTCTATGCTCATGTATTTTATACTTTCCATACATTTATAAAAAGAATATGTATTATGAGATGGTAGAACTGAGAACATTTTGTTGTGCAGAGAAAAGGAAAAACAGCTGAGCCACCAGCTGGAAAAGAATATTTTTCTGTGTTTTATTTCTTTTACATGAATCCAGATTTCCAATAAAATATAGGACTTGCTTTTATTTTTGTGAGATATTTTATTCCTTTCCCTTAGAACAAATTGCTTACCTAATATGTTGTTCTCATTCTTTTTCCAGAAAAACTCCAGAATGAGCTTGGTAAGTAGCAATGCCGCACCAGGGTGGGTCAACCTCTGTGCTGCCTGGAGAGAGACAGGCTCCCAGGCAAAACTGCTCAGCTACTGAGATGCCGTGGGATCACCGTGAGAACTGCAGGCTTGACTCTCCCAAGTCCTACCTTCAGTTAGTACCAGAGGGAACTGGCAAAGTGCAGGACTCCACATCCTTCTTTAGGCACATTTGCACTGTACCGCCTGTCACTTCCAGTGTTTACGGGAAGCTAAATGAGCCTCAGATGGACACCAGTAAGGGGCAGAGACATAGTCTGTGCTTGCTGGGCAGGAGGAAAGGGGGCCACCGTGGGAATGTGTAGAGATGGCACAGTACAGCTGGTGGGGTGGCCCCTGTAAAACATTTTTAGTGTGAGTGATGGAAGTATCATAGTGACAACTGGAAGTCACCACCTCCACCCACTGGCTCTGCTATGGTTTCTGCAACTGCTCCTCACCCCGGTGCTCCTAACCTCTTCACTCCTGGGAGGTTGCTTTCCCAGACCACCCTGGGACCCTGTGCTGCCTGGAATGGTGATTTTTTGATTGTTTGTTTGTTTGTTTGTTTGTTTTTCTCTTTTACTTAATAGTTGGATTGCAGGTATTTTACTGTACCTAACGTAAATAGTTTAAAAATAACCAGTTTATATTTGAAACTCTTTTGATTTCTTCTTTGCCTCCTTTCCATCTTCCTCGTTTCTGTGACCTCTTCTCCCAGCCCATGACCACCAGCCTGAGACCCGCCCAGGTGCATATAAACTTGCATCACTCTTTTCTCTTCCATCAATACTCTGCGCTCCCTCAAGTCACCTGTTACAGGAATGTGTGTGTACGTGCACCTGTGTGCACATTCGATGACCTTAAGCGCGCATCCTAGCCCGTGTAGGAGTTTTTGAGGAATATCAGGGTGGCAAACAATCTCCAATATCTTCCAGAGTTTAATGTAACACTTTTGACCCCATTGGACCATAAAAATAAAGGGAAGGGCCTTAAGAAGTTCAAAGGTAACTCCGCAATCTGAGGAGAGCTACACACCTGTGACTCTTACCTTCCAAGTTGGATCCCTTTCTGTCTGGGGCAACATCTGCTCACAATCAGACAGAAATCTTAACCAGCAGAGCTTGTTAGTTACAGATCAGAAAGCCACGCCAGGGAATGGGGCAGGTTGACACATGTCTCTATCTTTAGAAAGATTGTAGGTGAAGAGTCATTCCTCTGAGTTATCTGAACCAACTTGACATGTTCACTGGAGTCCCAGCACACAAAATGCAATCCATCGTTGTGTTGCTCCTAAGTTGTGCTCACCTTCTGCGACATGCTAAAATAAGATGTGCAGATGGAGGTTCCCTAAGCTCCCCATCAGGAGGGGTTCAAGGGCTATGCCCTCGGGTGTTCTAAGGGTGTGTTGTGACTGAAGAGGTAGGAGCTTCTCAGCAGCCTCTGTGTTACTCTTGGGAATGAGAGCTCAGAGGCAAAGGGCTGCTGGCAAACTGAGCTCTTGGGAGTCCTGAGACTGAAATTCCAGTTCCCACTCTGGCAAATAGTGTTACTGGTTTAGAAAAATAATGACTAATTCTTTGAAATATCCATTATATGCCAGGCATTATGCTCAGTGCTTTACAGAAATTTTTTTCTTATGATAATTATAAAGATTAATAGATTTATCCTCATTTTACTGTTGGGAAACAATCTTAGAGACATATATACTTTGCCAAAAAACAAAAATTGTGATGTTTGCTTTCTAATCTATGTCTGACTTACAAGTGCAAGTTCTTAATAATTTATGTGTGATTTAAGTAAATCATTAGTCCCTATTTTTCTCATCTTTAAAATGAACATGTTGAATTTAATCTTTAATATGTCAGGTTCTAAAAATGTTCATAACATAATATAGTATTATATAATATAATTTAGCATATTTGGGGAATGAGATAGCCCACTTAATCAAATATACATGATGATGATGAAATTATCAGGTGTCAAGGAATTAGTGTACAAGTCCTTATACTTCGCACTCCAGAAAAGATTTAACTTTTCAGTGGGTGTTCAGGAGACATTTCAGGAGAATACATCCAATACTCAAATATGAGCACAAATTGTGTGTGAGGCTGTGTACAAAACACTATAGAACAGATTGCGTAGGGTCATTCTCAAAGAGCTCTTATTCTAGTAGAACATCAGTTATTAACAAAGAGGGCTACAGGATTTTTCCAAGTACTTTAAACTTTATTTTCACTTGAATTCTGGAAAAATAGAGGTTTCATATGTCTATAACACACCTAATTAATTAATCCCCAAACACTTATTTTGCTTTCTTTGGTTTCTATTAAATTCAATTAGAGCGCTTAACTACTCTGTGCCTGTCCGGGTGTTGAGTTTGACATACACCATGGGTCACAAATGGGGGAAGAATCCTCACATGGGTAACAGAGCTAAGGAAACAGTCTGTTTTACTAAGTAATTTACTTTAAGACACATGGATGGAGAAATAGCAGCAAAATAAACCCTAAATAATTTTTTATTTTAAAAATTATAAAGCATAGTTGGTATACAACCTTATACTGGTTTTATTAGTTTCAGGTGTACAATAGAGTGATTTGACATTTATACCTTACAATGTGATCACTTCACTACTTCCAGGAATTATTTGTTCATTTTTATGACCCTTATATTCAGTTTTAGATTTTAACAGATACATATGGAATAGAGATAGTATTGTTTTAGGTACAATTGAAGGACAAAGCAAAAAAAATGCTAGAAATAGCTGGGAATGAACTTTTAGGTAGAATAGAAGAAAATAATCTGAAAAGTAGAATTGTGTTGACAGCGAGTTTTCTGTCGAGAAGCACCTAGCAAATTTCGAATAATTACATAATGAGGTCATTTTGCCTTTGGTTACTAACTCCCATTCAGATAATATGCAAATTTATGTCTGTATTCCTACTATAAATGATCATAAATGTATGCATTCTGACCATCTGGTAGAAAAGGATGATTCTCAATTTAGAATAGAAGAAATTGGACTTGGCCGTGGCCGTGGGGAGCTGGAGGTGTGACAGAGCTTGGACCCAGGAAAGCCTTCAAATTCCTCCATTCTCCATAATGGGAAGAGCAGATCTGTCTATCCATCATTGTGTTGCGTTCTGTTTTGCCAGCCTCCCCAATTCTTGATCTTATTTATCTTAAAATCATCTGGGAACATTGAACCTGGTGTGTGTTTAGAGCCCCGTGTTTGTGGGACCTTAGGGAACTGAGAAGTGATGGCTGGATCTGACTTATAAGGTATTACAAAATCAAACCAGGGGAAGAATTCTTCACATTTCATTACTAAAGATACACAGGAACTCATTTTCATCACCTTCCCGTCATCAAGGCAGGAGGTAGGATTTTCTCCAATGCCCTCGGGTCTCACAGCCTACATATCTCTGCTCATACTTCATGGTCATCCATAGAGCTTTATATAGATTATTTTGTTTAACTCCAGAACAACCTTAAGATTTTGATAGTGATATATTTGTTTTATAGTTTAAGAAACTGAGGCATACACTGGTAATAGTTGCTTTAGTTCATGCAGAGTTTAAGCGATAAAGTATTAACTTTATTCTAAGAATTTTAATTGCAAAATTATTTTATTGGGCTGTAATATGAGTACTATTATAGTTAGGGGCAGGTGAGAGTTCTGTTATTGATTTTTTTAGGCTGACACACAAGACAAGACGATTCTGCATTGAACAGGGGCACTCCCTATCCTGATTACACCAAACTTACCGCTCTCCAAAGGATGACCTTGTCAAGGACAAAAGATGTCCTTGAGCTTTGAGCTACCCCTAGATGCTGGTGGGTTGTAAATCCCACTTGAGATGTTCATGCTGGTAACAGTATTTGCTCCATTCTGAGTCTTTCATTGTGTTTTTGTCTGCTGTGTTTATTTACTAGCTTCCTTAAAAGTGATTGGACCTTCCCAGCCTCTTCTTGTCAGAGTGGGAGAAGACATACAATTAACCTGTTACCTGTCCCCCAAGGCTAATGCACAGAGCATGGAGGTGAGGTGGGTCCGATCCCACCGCTACCCTGCTGTTTATGTGTATATGGATGGGGACCATGTGTCGAAAGAACAGATGGCAGAATATAAAGGGAGGACAGCATTGGTGACTGATGCCCTCAGCGAGGGAAGACTGACCCTGCACATACGCAACACCAGCATTTCAGATGACGGGCAGTACCGGTGCCTTTTTGAAAAAGACGGTGTCTACCAGGAGAGCAGTTTGGATCTGAAGGTAGTAGGTATGGATTGCAAAGAGACGTTTTGGTTCTTACTGCCTTGACATGGTAGTTCTGGAAAATCTTCCTGGGTCTGATATTTTTTAAATGCCCATTCACTCATCAGATTTATATTCAACCCTCTGATGTGCAGTATCTACTGCTGTAGATACTTAAAGTCCACAAACTCAAATAAACCGATTTAATGTTTGGCTACAGAATTTGTACCCTTCCCAGGATATCCACAGTGACCACCTATTTTGTGGAATATGAGAATTTTACTCTATAGCTTTACACAGGACTATTTCCCAGAATGTTATTAAAACTCTGGGAAATGTGTAGTTACTAGGAAATGTAATGTTTTGAAGACTAAACTAGATTCACATTTAAACAAAAATAATAAATATTTACAAAATGGGCAGGAAGGAAGAGGACAGACAAAATTTTTCCCTGCCTCATATTTTGCCACTGTCTATATTTGTGAATGACAATTGGTTTTCCAAGGCTAGCAAATGCTATCGAAGACAGAGGCCAACATCTTGTATACTCTACTTGGTTCTCTCATTGATTTTGTGTCTAAATTAATGAATACCTTTAGGTAATAGCCAAAGGAGCACCTGTGGAGAAGTTAAGTGGACACCATCATTTTCTGCCATTGGACGTACTTACAAGATTTCAATCCTGGAGACTATTCTCCGATTCACTTACTTACTTCCTGGCCATATCATTTATGCCTTGGTCAACACCATTTTGTTCTCAGGTATAGAAAAAAAAGATTAGATTTGAAATTGATTGTATCCCTTAATCTCTCCCAGGGTGATCTTAGAAATATTTTTTTTTTAAAGAGCCAATAAAACAAAACAAAAGCCTCTCTAGCCGGTCTCATCCCAAAGTGGAGTCTAATTGCTCCGTGTGCCTCACTCTGCCCCCAGGCCTCTGAATCTCCCTTTCCTCAGAGACTTCACTGACCAAATTGCCACTTGCAGAAATTGGAGGTTTTGTATCTTGATCTCTCTTCCCCAGGGCTGGGTTCTTCTCCGCAGATCACCATGGAGGAGCTGAAGGATGGAGAAATGCAGCTGATGTGCAGCTCAGAAGGGTGGTTCCCGCAGCCCCGTGTGCAGTGGAGGGACATGGAAGGAATGACAGTTCCATCATTTTCCGAGGTCCTGACTCAAGGCAGCCATGGGCTGTTCCATGTGGAGACATTTCTGTTGGTCCCGAACAGTTCTGTTGTGAACTTGACATGCTCCATCAGCAACCCCCTTCTTGGAGAGGAGAAAATGGCAACTTTTTCTTCCTCAGGTTGGTGATTCATGTGTTCCTCTCAGCTTTGGGAAATAAATATGAAGACAAACCATGACTTTTCTTTTCTCATGGTGGATTTTATTTTGGATTAAGAGCTAATTGTCCTTAACACTGCCTTCACGGCTATGGATTGGATAATATTATCCTTTACCACCTTCGTTTTTCCAGTGATTGTGGTAATATAACTGGAAAACAGAGGAAAGAGAAATGCATGTGTGAATGTGTGTATGAATGTGTGTGTGAGAGTGTGTATTTTGGTGTGAATGAGTGCTTGTGTGATTTTATGTGTGTGTCTCTGTATGAGTGTGAGTTGTGCATATGTATATAACTGTGTATGAGTTTGTATGTGTATATGTGAGTGTGTGTGTGACTATTTGAATGTGGATGTGACTGTATGACTGCAAGTATGTGTATGAATGTGTTAGAGTGTGAATATATTTGTGTGCGTAACTATGTGTGTGTGTGTGAATATGTGTTTGAGTATGTGAGTGAGTATGTGTGTTATTGTGAGTGTGTCTGACTGTCTGCAAGGAGAAAACAATAAAGTTAGCATAAACTTCAAGTCTCTCTTCAGCTTCTGCAGAGCAGGGAGAAACAGACCAACCTCCTCCCTGAGGCCCAGTTCTCATCCTCCTCTCCAGTTCAGGAGATGTTCAAATATAATGGATTATCTTGAAATTTTCCTAGTTGCATAATTTAATGGGATTTGGGGGTTTTCATTTTAGATTTCAGGAAGACCTCTTCATGGAAGATCCTATTTATATTTGGATTGCTTCTTCTTGCAACTGTAGGCCTGATAAAGAGAAAGAGCTGTAGAAATGGTAAGTTAAGTAAACAGAGACTGTGGAATACACTTTGCAATGGGAACCCTACTGTGCACTTCCCTTAGAAATCACATGTGGCAGTCAGTTACTTTTCAGGAATCACATGTGTCAATGATTCACTGAACATTTAATAAGTGATGTAACAGTCTATGACTTACATTCCTGTAATCAGGATCTGCGCTGAATGAGATCAGTGTTTACAGTGATAATAGAAGCAAAGGGATTAAAAGACAATGATTTGATCTGCTAGTGCACATTCTCGAGTGATCTAGTTAAGGGAATGGATGAAAAATATAGAGTAGCCATCCTTGCTTTCAAGACTGAGCTGAGACAGCTGCGATTCTGTTGGCATGAAAATTTCACTGAGATCTTTAACTCTATGGTGACTTACTTACTAGTGATAAAAGACTTCTCAGGTATTGATAGAGAGGCTGTTTTCTGTGCTCTAGAAAGTTCTTCCATCTTAAATTTCTTATATGACTATAACTTTTGTTTGTCCATTTGGATATTAATTTCATGACATTACTATTTTTAATACTTCTATAGTATTGCTTATTATCAGAATTGATTTTCTTTATCTACAGTGAATGTGACACTGGATCCAAATGCAGCTCCCCGAGAACTGAATATTTCTGAGGGAAAGAAGAATGAGACCCATAGACTGTCATGTAACCAGACATCCCACAGAAATGTATCTGTCTGCTCCATGCTCCGGGTCCGGGGGCTCACATCAGGGAGGTGGTAGTGGGAGGTAGAGACTGAGGACAAGACAGGATGGGTTCTGGCTAAGGCCGAGGACAATACCATGATTCATTTCTGTGTCACCACAGAACAAGTTTGGGCAATGGGTGTCTATGGACATGAGTACCAGATGGTTACCGCTTCTCCAAGCCTTATATCCTGAAGATGGTTCCAGGACGGGTCAGAATCTCCCTTGACTATGTATTTGGACATGTCCTGTTTTATAACATGACTAAGTGATCTATCTTCACCTTCTCCCTCAGTTTTCTTCTCTGAAATTCTACACCTCCTCTTCATTCTTTGATCCCCTAATGTAGTTTCTCCTGACACCATTCCCTGAGATTCTGGACACCAGGATTAGATTCCAAGTCTCAGCTTTTTTTCTCTTTTTGCCTTGAAAGGGGACTCATGAGACCATCATACTAAATTAAGCGTGCTTTAATCTCACTCTCGTTTCAAATCTGACCTGGAGACTGATCCCTTCAGAGATCTAACTTACCCCAAGTTCTCTGATATTCTGCCTACTGATCACAGTCTGATATATGATGGCCAAAGACCCTTAGAAAATCCAATGGAAAATGCAATTTAGCCTAGAGAAGGGCATGCAAGGAATTATGCAGTGCTTGATTGGTTTCTTTAAAAAGAACACAATGAATTATTTAAGTAGCCATGAGAAAATGATAAATACATTTTAAAGAGAGTAAGAAAAAACATAGCCAAATTAACCGAGAAAAACCTATTGCTAATACATAATCTAGAAGTGTGGAATCCCTGCTCCAGGATTTTTCAGTAAGTTAACAGAAAATGTGAAGTAGAGACAATTTTTAGAAATTCTGGTCTAAGAGGAAATTTAACTTCATGTATATGAAACTGGGTGATGGGTACATGAGAGTTTATTCAACTAATCTGTATTTTTGTATATGTGTAAAATTTTCATAATAAAAAATTAAAAAAAGAAAATGTCAACTTTATTTTTAGAGCAAAATAAAACATATAATTTAAAATTAATAATTACAAAATAAACAAACATAAGCAATACATGTAACATGTAGTGAATTGAAGAGGGAAAGTTACATGTGGAAGAAGAAATAATGTGAAAAAAAGAATTACTTGGAAGGATCCAAGATGGCAGAGAAGTGAGTGGAAGTTACACTAACCCCCTCCAAGGACCAGTCTGGAATTACAACTAAATTGTGAAGAAATCACCTGGAACAAACAACTGAACAATAGCGAGAAAGAAACCTTATAACCATGGACAGACAGAGGAATCAGCTTCAGCACAATGTGACTTGTAGGGAGTGTGAAAGAGACATGAGAGGCCTGGCTGTGTGCCCACAGGCAGCAGCTGAAGACCAGGAGGGATATTTAAGTGGTCAGTTGGGTTCCCCTGAAAAGTGTGGGGTCTGAATTCCAAGCTGGGACACCAACTTAGAGCACCAGAGCCTGAAAAGTATACAGATAACATCCAGCTGTGAAAAGTGGCAAGGTTGCTCTCTGCCAGAGACAGATGAAGGCTGGAGATGCAAAGAGCCATTTAAAGGGCCAATGCATAAATTTTCATTTGCATCCACTTACCCTGGCCTCTGACAAAGGGGAGGTGCAGAGTGGGCTAGAGATGTTAGAGGAGAGACTAGGGACAGAGACTTTGGGGAGAGAACTGAGAGAGTAGCTGGTGGGATCCCAGTGCTGACTCCTCCCCCGTATGGCAGCAACCATCCTGCTCAGGCAGACCACTCCTCTGAGTGGCAGCAGCCTGAAGGGAAACAATAGCCCTAGTCCCATGAAGGATTCTGCCCCACCCTGTTGTGCTTAAGCCTGACTGCTGAATGCAGAGTGACTAGATTAACAACTGAAGGGAGTCACAGATAAGTAGATGCTAGTAGACTGGCATTAGGCAGTCTCAAACAGGCTGCCTAATGCCAGATGGGACAACCATCTAACATCATCAGAGGCAGATTCAGAAGGAAAAAACAGTGGTAAATACTAGAGGCTAAGGAGACAAAATCCACCGTCGTCTTCTCCATGATTTTCAATTCTTTCTTTCCTGCATAGCTCTTTAACATTCTTTTCTTGGCTTTCAACTTTGTGCATATTAAGTCACTAGACTTTATACTATAGCTTATTTCAGTTCACATATTTTGCCCCTCCCTTCTTTTACCCCATTTTATCTTCTTCTTTCCTCTTATTATTTTCATTTTAAATGTTGTTTTCTCTCTTGCCACAACTTGTTTCCACTCTGCACTCTTACTTTTTCTCCCCTGTCCAGTCTCTCAAAACCAATTTTCTTGTCAATGGTTATCTCACATTCTTTTTCCCAATCTTAAAATACCTGCGTTCCCTTTCCACCTTTAGCAATATTTGCTAGTTGGTTGTGGATAGGGTAATTGTTGTTGCATTTTGTCCACTTTATCTCTAGATCTTCACTAATTTTGTATATCAAATCTCAAATTTTACCATTCCCCTTTTCAACTCCCTTTTTGTCTCAAATTTTAATTTTGCCCTGTCTTAGCCTGTTTTTCTCTTTTTTCCTTTCATCCTGTCATTTTTCCTTTTATTCTTTATTATTTTTCTTTTCATCTCAAATTTTAATTTTTCCCTGCATTAGCCTGGTTTTCATTCCTCACTCTTTGTATTCCCTCTCCCTCTATCATCTCAAAACCATTTTCTGTTCCTCTCAACATCTCTTAAGCTTTTCTTTCTTTCTTTTTTCTCTCTTATTCCCATCCTGCCTACATTAACTTTAGCTCATTTGTTGTTGATAGTGCTGCGGTGAATCTTTCTTGCCAATTTGGTTCCTTTATTTATTTATTTGTTTGTTTATTTATTTTCCTATTTCTTTCAGTTTATTTTATTTTATTTTATTTTAATTTCTGTTTAAACCTAATACTATATGCTTCCCCTCTCTTACTTCATTCTGACTTCTTCATTCCCTTTTTATTTATGGTATAAATTTTACTTTTTCTTCACATTTCTCCAATTCCCTATTCTAATTAGTGCTCCTTCCTCTACCCTGTCAAAATCATTTTTTCTTTCAGTAGGTCATCTCATAGTAATTCTACTTTCTTATAATAGTCTGAATCTTTTACACCCTTATTAATTACTGGTTCATTTGCTATTCATAGAAGAATTGTGGATAGAGGTTACTTTTGCAGGTGTGGGTTTCTTTCCTGGGCATTGTGGTTTTGTTCCAGCAGCACCTGCACAACAACATACAAGATATGGTGAGCAAAATGACCCAGATTCAACCAGCTGGAGGCAAGGACCCATAGAAGAGTGACCCGACAACTATCAAAACCCAATTACATCCAGAAAACCAATGTATATGGCATAACAGCCATTCCAAAAGCATCAAGTTGAGTAGGTCAAAGAGATTGCACTACTGAATCTCACAGGTCTCCTACCGTAGAAGTTCATACTACAAAATCAGGGAGTCCAAGCAAATCATTTTAAGAAGCAGACAAACAAAAAGAGTCTCACAAATAATGAGAAGACTAAGAAACAACCCCCAATCTAAAAGAAAGGAGGAATCCTCAGAAATAGTGCTAAATGAAATAGAGGTTAGTAAACTATCAAATATTGAATTCAAAACAATGGTTAGAAGGAAGCTCAATGAGCTCAGTGAGAATTACCAAAAATGATAGGGAAACTACAAGAAACTTAATGCAAACTACATCAGCATGTGAAAGGACATAGAAACTATCAAAAAGAACAAAGAGGAAATGAAAGAGAATACAATTTATCTTGTAGAAGGAAGAACACAATAAAAGGGATCAAAAGCTGGCTAGGTGAAGCAGAGGATCAAATCAGCTAGCTGGAGGACAAGGTAGAAAAAAATTCCCAGAAAAAAAAGAAAAGGAAAAAAGATGCAAAAAGGATGAAGAGGGGCTAAGATATCTGTAGGAAAACATGAAACATAATAATATCCATATCACAGAGATACCACAAGGAGAAAAAGAGGAGCAAGGGATAGAAAACCTATTTGAAAAAGTAATGATGGAAAATTTCCCTAATTGCAGGAGAGAAAAAGTCACACAAGTCTGGGAAACACAGAGAGTCCCAATCAAGATGAACCCAAAGAGGCCCACTCCAACACACATCATCATTAAAATGGCAAAAATCAAAACAAAGAAAATCTTAAAGGCAGCAAAGGAGACAGGAAGTAACATATAAGAGAACCCCGATAAGGCTAGCAGCTGATCTCTCCACAGGACCACTACAAGCCAGAAGGGAATGTCAAGAAATATTCCAAGTAATGAAAAGCAAAGGCCTGAAACCAAGACTGCTCTACCCAGCAAGGCTCTCAAGTAAAATGGAAGGCAAAATAAGGACTTTCCCAGACAAAGGAAAGCTAAAAGAATACACCTCCATAAAATTAGCATTTCAAGATATGCTAAAGGAACTGCTTTAAGAAGATGAAGAAAAAGAATGAGAGAGGAACACAGGTACAAAAGGGAAAAAATGGCAATGAATAAGAACCTATCAATAACAGCCTTAAATGAAAATGGATTAAATGCTCTAATCAAAAGACAAGGGGTAGCTGAGTGGATAAAAAAATATGACCCACACATGTGCTGCCTACAAGAGACCCACAGCAGAACAAAAGACTTGCACAGACTGAAAGTGAAGGGTTGGAAAAAAATATTCCAAGCAAATGGATAGGATAAAAAGAAAGCTGGCATAGCAATACTTAAACAAAATAGATTTCAAAACAAAGGCCATAAAAAGAGACACAGAAGGACACTTCATAATACTCAAGGGAAGACTCCATCAAGAATACATTAACATTGTAAACCTATATGCACCCAGCATAGGAGCACCCAAATATGTAAGGAAAATCTTGGAGGACTTCAAGAAAGATATAGACAGCAACACACTGATAATAGGGGATTTTAGCACCCTACTGTCAACAGTGGATAGATCTTCCAAACGAAATATCAACAAGAATATTGTGGCACTGAACAATGCCCTAGATCAAATGGACTTGACTGATATCTATATACAAACTTTCATCCCAAAGAAGCAAAATTCTTTCCAAATGCACATGGAATATTTTCAAAGATAGACCACATGATAGGACAGAAAACAAGCCTCAACAAATTCAAGAAAATTGAAATTATAACAAACATTTTCTTGGACCACAATGGTCTGAAACAAGAAACCAACCTCAAGGAAAAAAACTCAAAAACATTCATATTCATGGAGATTGAATAGCATGCTATTAAACAATGAATAGGTTAATAATGTGATCAAGGAAGAAATAAAAAAAGTTTCTGAAAACAAATGAAAATGAACACACAGCAGTCCAAAACCTGTGGGACACAGAAAATGTGGTCCTAAGAGAGAAGGTCATAGCAATACAGGCCTATTTAAAAAAGACGGAAAAATCTCAAATAAACAACCTAACCCTATAGCTATAAGAATGGGAGGAACAGCAACAAACGAGCAGAGCAGAAGGAAAGAAATAACCAAGATCAAAGCAGAATTAAATGACACAGAGATTAAAAGAACAATTCAAAGTATCAATAAATCAGGAGCTGGTTCTTTGAAAAGATAAAATCGACAAGCCTTTATCCAGACCCCACAGGAAAAAAAAAAAAAAGAGAGGACCCAAATAAATAAAATCAGAAATGAATGAAGTGATAATAACTGATAGCACAGAAATAAAAATGATTATAAGAAATTTCTACAAACAACTATATGACAAGAAATTTGAAAACCTGGGTGAAATGGACAAATTTCTAGAAAAACATAGTATTCCAAAACTAAATCAAGAAGAAACAGAAAACCTGAACACACTGATAACAGCTGGTGAAATTGAAGCAGTAATCAGAAAACTCCTGGCACACAGAAGCCCTGTACTGGATGGTTTCACAGGAGAATTTTACAAAACATTTAAG